TTTTTAACATAATCAATAGTGATTTCTCTATAATTTATCGATGAAAGGAGTTAAGGGAGTTAAAACAGGCCTTGAACGATACGAAATTAAAGATTATTCAGAGTTCCTCGCTATAAATGCCCTCCTTTGCTATAAATTTCCTATTAAATTCGAATAATTGCAGAAATCTCTGACTTGGATACCTTGGGCTTGGCACCAGACGACTTGGTTCGGTGGTAAAATGTTGGATGGCTGCGACTGCGTGGGTGAATGGTTGGCGAGTTTCTTCGGTATAACAACACCTAAATACCAATTCGAGATCAACGAGTTCTACAGACTGCAAGCATTAGAGAACGAAGCTCTTCGCAGACAGTCTTTAGAAATGGGTGGATGGAACGAGAGTCACAAGAACAATCTCGTAAACGGCGTACCTTGAACTCCATCAACAGTGCTGTTAAATATTTTAACAATTGCAACTATTTATTTAATTATACACGACAAATATCAGTTCTATCGTAGGCCTCTCTATACGTTTTTAATCGTGTAAAAGATAGAGAAAAATATTTAACTATACTTTATTCGGTTAACGCAAATTATTGCATTTCAAGTTAAAATTAAATCGGTTGTTCAATATGTAAAAATTGTTATACAAATGTAAACCACCTGAAAGGTAAAAAAATTACCTCGTAGTATTAAAATACTTTATACAGACGTGATACCAATTACGATATATAAATCTTGTGACTTATATAAATATAATACTTATTCAACTTTTAAATAACTGCTAGAAAAAATATTGCGAACGAAACTTGCACGGTTCCGAGAAGCAAATGCAGTCTTCTACTCACTTTCTTCTCACTGTTTTCTTTTTTTTAAATGGAATGCCTAATATTTCTTATCGAATTTGAACAAAGCCTGAAATCTTATGTCGATGCATTGCTTTTAGCACAGCAGGAACTGGCAATATTCATTTTATATATTTATACGAATTATTATGTGTTCGAAGCTCAGGTTTCTGGTACGAACCTATGTAAAGCACTAGTGAGAACGAGCAGAGAGCTTTGAAGGCCCTGAGGTAAATGCCTTTGCAACCACGAGCCCTTGTACTGTTCTATATGGGCCAGCATTTTATTCGCTACGTCGGTTCTGAACGTAGGTGGAAGATTGCAAATTCCTAGATTGATAACCGCAAGGCCCATGTTGCTGTTAGGATTGACACCGACGCCGATCAACGTTCTGCCGATTTTGCACGCAGTTAACATTAAATCTGCAGTCAATTGTAGTTCCTGTATTTCCATCGATGCGAACTTGGATGACAAACTGCTTTCGTATAACGAATGCGAAATTCGTTTCACCTGCTTCGTCACCTTCTGTGAAATAAATTAGAAACATCATTTCTCTAATTTGTATTCTATTTTATTATTATTATTGCGTACCGCGAAGAGGTCGGCTGAGAGGTTCTCCAAATTCACGTTGTCTGGGTCTGTTAATAATCTGTACAACGTCGAGCCTCGGTTGTCAGGAATCTGTTGCAAGTCCTTCGTTCCTTGATTCTTACTAAGAGTAAGAACGAGCGTGTCTAGACGGCCTAATTCTAATATAGCCGTGCCAATTTTGTAGTCCGAATCTTGGAACACGTGAATGTCTAATAATTTCGTTATACATTTTTGCCTGGAAGTTAATACGATTATTAAATATAATTGTCTTCACGTTCTTATTATTGATTTTTGACGAAACATTACCTCGAACCAAATATTTCAGATCCTTCATAATTATCGTCAGTATTTATATCAATTTCACTAGCTGGGTTCCACGCTAATCCTGCAGCTATCAAATATCCGATCCATGCAAACGTATGAGAGGTGAGATGATGACTGCCAGACCAATGAGCCACCACTACGCCCACTGAATCTTGTTCGACGGAAGTTTTTATCGCGTTCTTCGTATTTGCATACGTCGACGCTGGACATCCTGCTAAACTATTATAACTCGCCGTTCCAGAACTGGGCAACACGTTACCACCTGCTATCCTAAACGCTTCTGTCCATTCAGAAAAATCGTAATCAGCCTATAACGTGAAACAGTCTCATTAGATCTCATAACTTATTAAGGTAAACGAGGTAGTACCTGGACACTTGAATATTTTCTTTGAACTTGGACAGTAAATAATTGCTACTATTTATTACTGTCCAAGTACTGGTTCCAAAATTTTGTCCCAGTACTTCCTTTACCTTATAGAATTTTCTTATAAATCTGATTATTAATTATGTTTGAATTTCTACCTGAAATCCGTATTCGACGAGGATAATATTGCTAGGCACGTTATGAAACTCTGCCTTCGAATGCAGTCCATTGGAACATAGTAAAAGAGTCGTGCTGGGGCACAGATTTAAGATATGCCACAGTTCTTGGAGGCAGGAGTACGACTTAAACACTTCGGACATGTCCGTCTCGATGGTTTCGTTAACCGATAGATTCAAGTCAAAATTATCTGCCTGTACGAGCAGATTAGCCAGTCTGGGACCGACGTGGACGTAACTGAGACTCGGGAAGACTGCGAGCAATTCCTGAAATATAGGCCACATTTGCGAGAGGTGGTGTTGACCTACGTTCGAGTCAACGTCCAACGTGGGAACCAAATCCAAATGTCGATCCCTGAAATAAATTCAACAACTTCGCTTATGCTCCTATTTTTATAAATACTTTGCATGTTATAGAATTATAAACGCACCTGCAGTAACGATCTAAAGTAACCATTTCTGATTTCGAATAGCAGAGCTGCCAGTCGCAGTTCGGTGTGAGCCTCGAATATAAATGCAAATAAGATATTTTAAAGGACGACCATAAATCGATCATATGTAGTAAATATTCCAGCGTCGGTATTCGTCCTCTGGGCGAAATGTCTAGCAATATTCCACGATGGGTGAACCTCGGCTCGTCTTTTATAAAAACCGGTTCAATCTCGCAGGTCTCGGATCTATTCTGGCTTTTGGTCAATCTTAATATTTGTACAAAGGTGCAGACCGCGTAATGGAGACCAGCTAAACTGCCGGCACCGACTTTAATAGTATTCTGCGAGATGTGCAGTTGATATCCTTCGGGAGTGTTGAATAACTTCTTGTTTACTATACATTCGATTCTGTTATCGTTCAGCAATTTTCCGGAAGTAGGATGGACTTCGCCGATCTTCACGTCGTATCCTAACTCCAGTAAATGAGTCCTGCTGATCTCCCAGACGTCTAATATTCTGTGAATAGACTCGCTGCCCTGAATGAAAATAAAAATAATGAAACATTCTCTCCATTATACAAATTTTGTATTAATTAATTATGATCGTACTTGTATTATGGATATAAAAAGTTCCTTGCCGGCAATGAAAGGCGCAGAGAAATTCTTTAACTCGACGACAGTCTTCGGCTGTGGCCAAAGCAAACTATAAATCCCTTCCTTTTCTGTGTTCTTAGCTGGACTCTCCTTACCCGACGATTCTCGTAACGGTACATCGTAAACAGGGTCCAACGATTTAGTAGATTCGATAGAAAGCTGACTCATGTTGCTGGAGATGCTCTTCTGGCAGAAGTTCCCGTCGGCGAACGTCGGACTGTGCATCGTTTCACTCTCGTTCGAGATAGAGTTCGACAGAAATCTTTGAACGAAGCAATGCAACGATTGCTTCCCCCTAGAAAGGTCATATGGAGTTTTCCCTGCAAAAGTTCTACAAGAAACAATAATTTAATTATTCATATAATATAATCATAAGTCGTCAGATTTTATATAGTAATTAATATGTACCCTTTAGTCGCTCGTATAAAAAAATTCGCGCCTGCTTGCAGCAACTCTTGGCAGATAGCGACATCCCCTCGATTTACTGCATCGTGTAACGGCGTCGCACCACAACCGTTAACAGCGTTCACATCAGCTCCTCTTTCTGTAATAATAATTAGAATAATTAGAATTAGAATACGATATCAAAGGATTGTAGCAAAAAGAATAAATTACCTATTAAACATGCAACGATATCCTTGTTTCCGTAACAAGCCGCCCAATGTAGAGGAGTGTTCTTGCTACCATGGGAATCCCACGAATTTACGTTCAATCCAGCATCCAGCAACTGCACCACTCTGTTTATTCTTCACAGATCATATAATACATTAAGGATGTATTAGCTATACAGTCAATCCGAAAAGTTTATGTACCTTAGAAAAACGCATTTCCGGTAATTAAAAATAGTGTATTTATCTTCTAATTTCGACATTTAATGAGTTACATATGATTATTTGGCATTTTATTGATGTTGAC